TATGTGCAATAATGGTTTCCAGACTTTTTATTCTAGATTAGTGTAATTAAGTAGTAGATGTAACATGAGATAAATAAAGTAAGCTGTGACTGCTCTCCAGCTGTGTTAAGTAGAATAGGGAAGATGTGTAAGTCTTTGTCAATGGGTCAGTTATAGAGAAAAAAACACAACTGCTCCATGGTGACAGCTGCATGATTTGGTCTATATTGAACTTTTTAATATTCAGTAAGATGGATGCAAAAATCTCCACCCCCACAGCGGAGACTTATTTCATTGTCTCAAAGGCACACATTTATTAAGTGAGCTGCTTTAGACATTATTACAGAGAGATGGTTCTAATGTTAACCTAAAGATGCCAGTGTTAGAGGTCCCTGCATTAGCTACTTTATAATATGTTTCATTTGTTTTTTTATTAGGTTGTTGCTTTACCTGGTAACCACAAGGCGAAGTGTAGGAGTTTCTGAAAACTAATAACAATAATTTAAAAAAAAAAGGTAAGTATTAAGTTATCAGTGATAAAGTTGAGATGCTGTCTTGTGATTCCATAACTTTTTGGTTCTCTATACCAAAGAGTCCACCAGGTTAAATTTATGTTCAATACATTTTTTTAAAGTTACCTATTTTAAAGCCGTTAGTATGTGGTTAATTGTTATACATCTTCTAAACTGAACTTGTGCTTATATTGCATGAAGGTGCAATTTTGTTGCTCTATATAGTTTTTTTTTTTTTTTTCCTTTTCTCTGAGTTTTCAGTGTTTATGTTTACTTCTGAAAAATGCAAGCTGAAGCCGGAAAGGATCCAGATCCAGTAAAACTGCAACGAAATGAGGATCAATGTGGCATGTTCTGGAAGAATTGAGGAAAATGGAAATAAATACTTCTCCCTTCCAAAAAAATGCAAAACATGTTTTAGTTAAAGTTTAACAGCAAACTATTATTCTATTGCAGTCCCTCATTTTTGGTAATGGCATGAAAAAAATGAACCACAGAAACAAATTAGTAAAAGACAGTTAGGATTGGAGATGTATTTTCTTTGATCTAGGGATATTCAAATTTAATTATCTACTCTAGCTTGTATTAACATAGTGATTTAAAGCTTACTTAGCTGTCTTACAGATGATCAAAAATGAAAAGAAAACAATAGTTGAACAGAAGGAAAAAACTCAAATCCATTTATTTGTACAGTCTGGGTTCTTAAATAGCTATTACAGGGCAATGCCCTCAAAGAATTTGAGTCAGGTATCAATCTCTTCATCAGACCTTGCTTGGACTATTAGAACCCCTTGTATGTAGATAATAATTATGTGTTCCTTCTTGTTGGACTGTACAAAAAGACAGATGTTGTGTCATAAATCATTATAATAATTTTGTACATTGAGAACCAATGTCCATGTTTCATCTTAACATGATCACTGAAGGAGAGAATGCAGTTTTGCTCATAAACAGCTGTGGGACCTATCTTCTCTGCGCTGTTACTGGTTCCTGATTAAGCAAAAGTTTAATAAAACATTATTTGGCTAATTTGATTACATTCCAAATTCTTCCAGATAAACTCTGGTTTCCAAACAAAAAATCTGTTATATAACTGTAATATGGTTTTCAACCATGTTTCCCCTTCCTCTTTGTACATAGTAGTTTACTTTCACTTGTTTTAGTCAAGAGTTTTTAGGTGAAATATGTTCGACTTGGAGCTGAATGATTTTTGTTAATAAATTCTTATATTTTGAACAGAAGTTGTGATGAATTTATTCCATGTATGTGCAGAATTATCTGTTTGATTTGAGTTTGAATCACTCTTTCATTTATTGTTCTATCCCACAGCTAGTAGGGCGTGTGTTCATAAACAATATATGACAGTCCGAAGAATGTCTGATTAAAAAAGATATTTGCCACCCCTACAGGGGAGGGCCATAGAAATCTTAAAGTATCACAACATAATTTGGCGTCCTAGCTGTCTGGGCATTGAATATATCAGTCAATCACAACACAGACAAACCGTAGAAAATGCATTGGCTCACCTCTTGATTGAGTGTGAAAGGTGTAATCTACAGCCTGACCTACCAAAATCTACATCTGATTGTTTATTATATATATATTTGTATATGCTGTATGTGTGTAAATTTATCAGGGAGGTCATCCAGCATGTTTTTTGTTACCAGCTTTTATTTGTTGTAGGATATGTTATATGTTACTCTTAACAGTTGTTGATGTTTGTAGCGATTAGTAACAGTCAGCTCGGTCCCTTTTTACTGCCACTGTCTGCAAATGTGTTACAGGATCATCTCTTTCTTTTCTTTACAAGTGTTATAATCCACCATGTATTTTAGATCAATCAAAATGGCCTCCTATTTGGAAAACAGCTGAAGGGGTATTGCTCCTGTTTAATCACTACAGTACCAATAATATTTACATAACTTTACCCTATTTTGCAGTACTTCCACCACAGAACTTCAAATTAGAACTTTTGCTCTGTGTACAGCGGCGGGGGAGAGCAGCTGATATCTAGTCATCTATAAATGAGTCTCAGACTGTTCCTGACAGCGGGTGTACTATTTCACTCTGTGCTACTACAGAGATAAAATGCTTGATACAATTTTGATAGATAGATAGATAGATAGATA